ATTGGAGTCAACAGCCAGTATACTGCCTGCCAACCTTGAGCTCCTCAGCTGCATGAATCAAGAAAAGCCTCCACTTGACGTTTGATCCAAGAACTTGGGACTTGCCAGCTTCTGTAAGTGTGTTTTCCTAAGATAAATTTCTCTTTCTCTCTCTATATAAGCTTTACTGATTTTGTTTCTCTAGAGAACCCATTCGAACATAACATCCTACTTTGGTGAGTAGCAACTGGGGTCTTAAAAGATTGCAAATAGCCATCTAGATGCAACAACTGGTCTTTCTTCGTCCAGAGCAAAAAAGAATGAAGAACACCAAAGACACATGGAAACAATTAGTCTAAGGGACTAGTGGACCATGAGAACCTCAGCCTATATGACCATGAGCCCAGAAGAACTAGATGGTGCCTGGCTACCACTGTCAACCACTCAGAAAGGGGATCTTGGATAGAGTGGGAGAACAATGTGGAATAAAACTCGAAATCATGAAAAAGACCAGGTTTACTGTTTGATAGAGCCTGGTGAGACCCCCAAGACCATGGGCCCTAGTTACCCTTCAGGCCTGGAATAGATTTCACTCCTGTGACTTCCAGCTAAATAACAGACAGGCAGGTAGGTGAACATTTACACCAGGTAGATACACTCTCTAGAATGATCAAACTTGAGAGAGCAGAAGGGCAATATTTGCACAGGGAGATAGCTCAGGGGGCAGGAATGCATAGGAAAGAAGGACACAGGGAAGAGGTAACTATAGGGAGGAAATGGGAAGAGAGCTGTTACATTGTAGGGAATCATAGTCCATGTCATGAAACAAAATGTGTATGAACTGCTGTATAGAAAATGAATTTGCTCTGTAAACTTTCACCCAAATCATTAAAAAAAAAAAAAAAAAAGACATAACAATCATGAATGTATACGCACAGTTTAAAGCACATGAAGTAAAATGTGATAGAACCCAACAGGTAAAGAGACAAATCCACAATTACAGTGGTAGGTTTTAATACTCTCAATAATTAATAGAAGTAAACAAAAAAATTAATAAAAGATATATTCTTTGCAACAGAACTGAGGAAGGGTGAAATGGAAGGCTGAAGGGGCCCCTCACTGAAAACTACAAAACCTTTATAAGCAAACAGATATGATTAAAATCTATTTTAATCTTTGTGACTAACTTGCTGTTTCTCCCCCATTTATCATTTTCTTTCAAGTGAATTTGACTGCTATAGAGAAGGCTGGCTGCTATCCACCAGCTACTCCTCAGAAGGAAGGTTGGGTGATCTACTTCCATAGAGATACCACCTTGGAAACCCAAGGAGGGGTCACTATGAGTCGGGATCAACTTGACAGCAGTGAGTTTGGTTTTTTGGTTTTTTTTCAAGTGAATAGTATAGCCAGGCTTTGTCTATGGACACTTATTTCTTTAGATTTACTATTCTCAATTATGTATTCTTTGAAGCATAACTTTCCCCCAATTAGTTGTAATCCATAACAAGGTGACCCTGAGAAAGGAGACACCAAGTCCTGGAGCAACCAAGATAAAGGAGAAAGTGGTGATATGCCTGGGAGACCGAGAGGCCTGAAGATGTCCACTCCTATACTCTCCCCTCTTACAGAGTTAATCTCTCTGGGCAAGTGTGAGGAAACTGAAGCATCAAGAATGGTTTCTTCATTACTGACCAGAAGAAGAGCTGAGAGATCACAAGACAACTACAACTCATCCTATAATGAGAAGGAGACATTATCAGCATTCCTAAGACCTCCTAACCCCTCTCAGCCCGATTCCCTTTAAAAACCCTAACCATTCCTCAGCTTGGGGAGACAGACAATTTGGACAGATTTTCACTGTCTCCTTGGGTGTTGATACTCAATACAGCTTTTGCTTTCTCTCTTCAACGTTTTGTGATCATTGGCTCTTCATGACAGGGGGTAAGAACTTTGTTTTCCTACAACAGAATCAATTAATGTAATCTCATTGACAATTTTAAAATACTATACAACAACTTGAGGATGCATACTATTTTCACGTGCACATGGTGTATTCATCAAGATAGAGCACATGCTGGACTATACAAGTCTTGCTGTTGTTATGTGCCCTCAAGTCGTACCCGACTCATAGCAACCCCTTCTTGGGTTTCTGAGGCGGTATCACTGAGGCAGTATCACTACAGAAGTAGATTGCCCAACCTTCCTTCCAAGGAGTGGCTGGTGAGTTTGAACCTCCAACCTTCTGGTTAGCAGTCAAGTGCCTTAGGCACTACTCTACCAGAGCTCTCATACAAGCCTTAGCAAAATTTTAATGACCAAAATCGTAAGAGTATGTTCTCTGACCACAGTGGAATTAAATTAAAAACCAGTCAGAAATCTAGAAATATTTGAAAATTAAAGAAGATAATTCAAATTTCAAAGAAGAAATTCCAAATGGTGTTAAGAAAATATCTAAAAAAAAAAAAAAAAAAATTTCACAACACATCAAAATCTGGGATGTAGTTAAAGCAGTGCTTAGAGGGAAATTTATAACTTTAAATGCTTTTATTTGAGATGAACAAACGAATAAAATGAATTATCTACTTTTCCACCTAAATTTGAGAACAAAGGAGCAAATTAATGCCAAAGTTGTTGTTTTGAACATATTAGTAATTTATTTTTATTTTTATTATTTTTTTTTTAATTTTTTTTTAATTAGGATTTGGGTGAAGATTTACAGAGTAAATTCACTTTTCATACAGCAGTTCACATATACTTTGTCTCATGTCATTGACC